GCATATGAAAGCTGAATGTTTGGGAATCTAGCATGTATAGATATATTCCTGTGCTCTTATCCAAATTGCTGTAATACTGTAATAATAAATAAAATAAACTACTTTTTATAATTAATTATTTTTAATATAAAAAAAATATATACTTTCGTTTCTTTGTACATGTAGTAAGTACAATAAGGCAATAATAAAATATATAATAAAAATCAAGTAACTAGTTTGTTAATAATATTCACGTCGACTTTCAGCACCGAATTCTCGGTGATTATAAAAACTTTAACGTTCTGTCTCTCGTCCATACGGACCTCGGCGCAAGCCAAATTGATAACTCTAGTCTGACCAGGCATTATGACGTTCCTTCGATTGCTAATCTTCAAAATTCCTTCCGGTTCCATTTTGATCTCGTACTGAACATCTTTTGACCCAGCGCAAGATAAAATAATCAAATCTGAAATTTTATAAGGCGGATTCAATAGAATTTTCGATGGCTCAACAGTTAAAAAGTCCACAACAGCATCGCTCTTATCCGAGATCGTCATATTGCTGTAGTCATTCATTAACGTGTGATACTGCGACGTCTCATCTATAGCTTCGGGACAAAGAGTTTTGTCCATGTCCTGTTCGACTGTCACAGTTATTTCTTTGCGCAGCAATTCGTTCAGTATGACGTGAAAGTTCTTCACTGTATCTTTGTAATATCTTAGATCGTCTGGAATGCATTCGCCTGGAAATCTCTTCGTTAGTTCACACACCAATTTGTCGGGCATCAGATTGTTCTTCGATACGTATTCATTCAATTTCCTTAATCGTCCTCTCAACACCTCCGGTCCAAACGCTATCGTGATGTGTGCGATTTCCGTGACTTCAGATCCGCCGTTGAACGTTTTGCAGAAGATCCTGTAATCGTCCTTCGTCAAGATGTATTCAATCTGAATAGAGACCTGCTGTCCCGGCTGCAAAACAACTGACGACGGCGATAAATTGATCGTTGCGAAAGAATAAAGGCTCTTCGATCTAACGCTGAAATGCGCGAAACCGGGCAAACTACCAGAGTTCCTGATCTCAAACTGCTTGATCATCTTCGAATCGTTTTGGCTATTTAAACTACCCAGTGGCAACCATAGTTTACCCGAAGTGTCTTTGGGTAGACTTAACATCTCGATGCTGGAGTGTCCACCATATCCGAATAGGTTTATAACTTGTTGTTGATCCTTACGAATGTTGCCTTTGATCATTGGATAAAAGTATAATTTACCGGTTTGAACACCGTTCGTCGTGGGAGAAAAAGTTATCGTGAATTGCCTGCATTCGTTCGGGTGTAACAAGATGTTGACCATCGCCATAGGATCTGCATCCAATTTCGAGATTTTATAATTCAGATTGCTGGAGTTGAGTTGGAATCTCATTCGATGATCCGAACGGTTTTTAACGACAAACTCTTCAGTCGCAACTCTTCCCACTTTTACACATCCATAAACCAATTCCGATTTGGTGCACACCAATGGATTTTTAACTCCAGACAAAGTTTCAATACTGCAAGCGCTCTTCATAGAATGTACTGACCTATTCATATTTTCCTTGTTCTTCTCGCGGCTGCTCATAGATTTACTGCAAGCCAAATCCGTGGTGCTAACGAATTTTCTAGCGTCGGATTTATTAATCTTAGTATTTGGCGAATCCAAACTTTTGCTACCATAGTAATGATCATCATCCAACGGCTTAGATAAAATCGAAAATTTCGATTTCACCAGTTTCTCTGCCAATTTATTCGGCGTTTCAGTCCCATTCGAGATCATATTTTGTATCTTCGAAATACTTAAAACACTACCGTCCGTCGAAAATCTACCCTCATCCACCACCGTTGTCAGTTCATCGTTTACCAACGGCACAGGTTTCCTGCACTCCGGACTCTTTCCATGGAACATAACAGAACAATTATCCGATCTCTTGCGGAAAAAATCTCCCATCGACATTTCTGAAATGGAATTTGGCTGAGAAAACCTCGATACACTTTTCACAGGCAGATCGTGCTCCCTGCGCCAAAACATTTCCTCAGCATTTATTTTCTCTGTTGCGGATTCTGCAGTCTCGAACGTATCCTCAAACGTCGAATTAGCAAGAAAATATTTATTGTAAATCTCCTTGATCGAAACATCCGAATTTCTCAGTTGCTGCGAAATATTAGCTATCTGAGTTGATGTCCTTCGATCATCAACCAAATCGCTTTCACTCACTGTGCTTTCCATCGACATGTTACTCTCTCGTGTATCTATTTGCGTTTCCGGTTGGAAATATTTTGATGGTATATCTGGTTCGCATGCTTCTTCCATCAATCTGGTATATTCGGATCTATCAGCAATGTTTTTTTTGTGAAAAGAAACTCTCCCGTTACTTTTTGATAAAGAAGATACATTTGGCTAAAACATAATTACAAATATAATACATATAATAAGAAATATGTTTTTATTTTCTTACTGCTTCACATCGGGGCACATCAAGCTCTGCAACTTCTTCCAGTGGCAACACTCCCAGAGAGGCGCTAAAATGTAAGGGCTTCAATTCCTTTTTCTTCTTGGTCACTGTCGAGTAAGCTCTTGGCTTTGGGGTCTGCTGGATCGTTTCATTTAAAAACGCATCTCTTGAAAAATCCATGTTATTAATTATTTACACACAATCTTGTAGCTTTAAAACTGATTTTCACTCGTAACCGTCTTCTTTCTTGTCCAGCAATATTTTGACACGAATTTGAACAGTAGAAAAAAAAGGTAAACTCGTAGAAGCGCCCTCTGGATTTACTTAATATTAAAATCAATAAAATTTAACCGCAACCAAACATACAAGAGAAGGTATAATTTTTTTGCAATTTCTTAATTATAACTTATAATTATTTTATTACACTTAATAAGCAATGATTAGTTTTCTCATACTATTCAGAATCAAAAGAAATTGCTGTTATATCTCTCAATTAAACATAGTTAAGGGATCAAAGACGATGTGTGGTGGCGTGTCCTCGCAAATCTGGAAATCGAGTGGCGCCACCTAAAGAGTTACCGATGGAACCTTACACCAAAACAAAGCTACATAACCTCAATTTAATGTATTTTTTTGCTTATTATTTAAGATTTAATCAATATTTAACTGCAGCTTGCATAGATATAGTGATATAGAATAAAAGGATTAATTATTCAACAATTTGCAATGCTTTAAATGTAAAAAAACACCATAAATTTAGTTCATTCTCGACCAATGTATTTTAGTTTGAACTTTAATATCATACAAATAACACTGAAATAGACTTACAATCAACAGTTTGGGAAACACAGTCTTATGGTAAAATTTATTGTACAAAAATTTTTCACCCGAAGTTGTAGAATAATTTTATTTTTAACTAGATTTTCAATCGACATTGAAATCATAATTAGTAAAAGCTAGAGGTTTCGCATGTGAGATTGTGAACTTTTAAATTCAAATAAATTTACTTGCCCGATGGCAATTTGTTTCCAATATTAGGTAAATAGAAATGAAAGAAAAGATTGAGTCAAATAATAAATTTTATTAAGCAAATTGCATTGGATGCTTATTCGTTATCCTCATCATCGTCATCCTCCTGGCTGTTAATTTGGAAGTACTTGAGTTCGTAGCTGTCCTTTCCAGAAGCGACGACACGCAACCAATCCCTCAAGTTGTTCTTCTTCAAGTATTTCTTGGTGAGGTATTTCAGGTACCTCTTGGAGAAGGGAACATCTGAGGTGAGCACCAACTTGGTGTTCTTTTCGCGGCCCAAAGTGACATCCTTGCCCATGTTGCTCACTTTGCCGTTGACCTTAATGCGCTCCAGCAAATATTTTTCCTATGCAACAAAAACACAGAATATGAGAAAGCCATTCAATTTATAATGAATAGTGGAATACTTACAAAATTGGCAACATCCAAAATGTTGTCTTCGACTGGATGGGTGCAATCGACGGTGAACTTGAGGGCGACTTTCCTCTTCTTGATACCCTTGGCGCGGATGTGTTGCCTCTTGGCTTGGGGCTTACCCGTGATGGTAGCTTTTGTCTGGAATCCACAACAGAATTAATGTTGTGTTTCGACCAGATGTAAAAAAAGCATCAGAGACGTCGACACAAACAATTGTTGAGGTTATGCGATGTAAATGCACTGTTCATCCGCGAATATCGAGATAATCGCGTCTCGCACTGCATACAACTCAGGACAATTGGATTACGGAGGATGAATACTTGTGATTTTGGATAATGTTAAAGTGGTTCGAGGTAGTAAAATTGTTGAATTAACGAAATAATCGTCGGGAGTACTTACAACAGCCATGTTTATCCGTTTGTTACGAACTGAGAAAGAAAGATGGTCGGCGTCGTCAAGGTTTCCACAACCTAAAATCAGTGTTGCCACACACCGTAACAACTGAAATCGGAAACAAACCGAAAGTAACTATATTTAAATTTTATTTATCATTTCGTACTTACATATCAATACAAATTATGTATGAAACACTTGAATATTATTATTAAAAATAAACTTTTGAAATTATATTATTATGAAGCAGAGCAAATATACAATTTATAATTGCATTTGCTGTGTCCTAGTAACTTGTCAAGTAACTTGCAACGTATACGTCATATACATGACAACTATAACTTTTTTTTGTATCAGATCTAGTAAATACTTATTAGTAGTACATAATATGTATTATTACTAAAATCGAGATACCATTGTACTTGAGAAGTTACTGAATAAAAAACAATTAGATAATACTGAAAGTTATACCAATTTATTGCATTGTTTCAGTAAATGATCTAGCAGTTGATGAAATTTCCTTATTGATTGTTTATTGAATCTCAATGGTAGATCCAGTTGGCTACTGTTTTTCCTCCACTGTTTCCATTTGAATTCCCCAGTTCGTAATATACCAGATTCAAAAACAACTTTATTTTGCAAACATAATTATTGACCCTTTTCACAATTTGCAAACGCACAAACATTTATCTTATTATAAATCTTTCAACATTTATATTTCGTAGACTTTTAATTATATTATGGAGATAATTGGAGAAGCAATTATTTACATTTGAAGTGTTTAGGATACTTGAGATTAAAAATTTTAAACTATGGTTGTATATACAACTATTTCTATATTAGAGGGAAAATTTGGGTGCAGAAAAACCATTTATTTTATCTAAAATGATTTAAAGATATATTATATCTCTAGGGCCTTATCAATTGTATATTAGAGTTTATGTAGAAAGTTAGCATTCCATTATTGAAATTTTTGGGCCAAAAGTGCAATAGTTCTATGATTTATGAAACATAGTTTGTCACAGAATTCCAGCAGTTCTTTGATCAGCCTTCTTGTACCCTTCAGATCCGCGTATCTTCTGCCAGAAGTCACCACTTAATTCAGTTTCAAAGTTCTTATTTTAGATCTCATATGTTGACCCAGAGGGTGATAGTGTCGTCCAGGAGCACGAAGAATCCTGATGTGGTCCTCATCTTCGAGACCTTTTTAGAGTCGATCTTGTATCTCTCTTTCAGATCCTCTTCAACTTCTTCCCTTAACCAATCCTCTGGGAATGTCCAACATGACAAAGACATGCTTCTTCTCATTCATTGTTTTGTTTTCTTCAAGTGTTTTTAGAAGAGTGATCTTCGATCGAATAATTGTCTTCTTGACCAGCACATCATTTTTTTTTAAATATTTGTTTGCAGCTCTCCAACGATGATGATATTCTCCATTTTTTACCATCATATTGAATAGTGGATCGTATCTATTTGATAAGGGTTTTCAGCCTCAACTTCTCTCACAAATCTCTTCTGCATCTTACTTGGTGATAGAGCCATTTCCCAGATGGTAATCCATCTGGGAAAGGGTTTAATTGTTCGTCATTGCACAGGGTAAACTTCGTAATAAACCATGGAGCACCAACGATCCTTTGTTGTGTCTAATTACTAAGTTTGGGTACCATTGAGGACTATTATAGGTCATTAACAGAATCAATATGCAGAGTAGACAAATCGCATGGAAAACGGTGACCGTTTGCAGCTTTTCTTCGTATTTTCAACTAGAAAGCAAAATGCAGAATAGACAAATTCCACTTGTAATTAGTCTTAGGAAGTATGCAACTACTGAAGTGAAGAACTGCAAATAAAGCAAACACTTTGAAGAATATTTTAATAATAAACAACCTAAACCTAAACAATAGACAACAGAAGAAGATATCCCAACCATTCCTGAAACAAGACATCTTCGACTAGAATCTTTGACTTTGCCCACACTTGCATTTTGTAGATCCAGACACGATTTACAAATCAGCACCCAAACATGGATATAAAGCTTCGTTATTAATTTGAAGACAAGAAACATCTTTCAACACATTTACGAAGAAATTCCTAAAAATTGTAATGAATCAATTTAGGAAACGGGTTGGAAAAATTACAAAAAAAAATAATAACGCAAACTATTATTATTTGTTATCATTTTAATATACATTTATGTTTAATTACATTATTGTGGTTTTATTCTGACACATCTACACATCTTTTTTTCGAAATATTCTGTTCTCATTTCTTAAATGCAAGTTTATATCATATATTTATAATATATATATATATTTATTCAGGAATGGAAACAACCGAAAGATTTCTTCTCGTCTCTTCTGCTTTCGTGTTTCTTCGAGTGCAAGCCCATCTAGGTGTACACACACAAAACAAACACAAAACGCAAAAGAAATCCGACGGAAAAGGAACCCGGAAAAAAAATGAAAAGCAAATTAGAGACAATACAAAACAAATGAATGAATAACGAAAGTTGTCCTACGCGAGTGTTTTCAAACATACATTTTGTTTTCTTTAAATATTTACTCTTTGTAACTTTGTTTTTTTTACATATTCATTTCCTTTTCGTCTTTCCGCAACATTCGTCGCAACATTCCCTCGACTGTACAATTTTTTAAATTTTTCTTCTTAAAACACACAATGAAGCATCTGTAAATACGTTTAATATATTTGTTTCAATAAATATCTCTGATTCAGTGTTTATTTTTTATTTTATTTTTTTTAACTATTTCTTCCACCACTTCTTCCATCTTTTAAACCTGTATAGATAATATATATATATAAAGTTACAAATATATATTATTAATATTATTATTATTGGAATGTAACCGTTTCTTTAAATATTCATATTCTCTTCATCTTAAGTTGCTTACGTTTATTTTACTCATCGTCAAAAAATAGTTTGTTCATTATGTTCTTCATCATCTTTTTTTTCACTTTCTTTTCATCATCGAAACTTAAACGTGAATCTTCGGAAAGAGTTATATTTTCATTTCAGTGTTTAGTGAGCGAGTGAGTGATAGAGATATAGAGAACGAAGCGATAATGGGAATAAAAGCTCGGAAGGATTTATAAACATATAGGTAACATATCAAATAACAACTGTTTTTGGAGACATCATTCAACTACGTTCCGAAGAAAACATAACAAATTAGTAGAGCCGAAACAATAATAAGAAAAGAAAACTTGCAACTCATTTTTACCTAACGGTTCTCTTCCTTTTCACAGTGCAAATTAACAACGATCAAGTAGCCTAATTCGCAATAAAAAAAAAACAAAATCATAATAAGGCGGATAAAGAGAGAACTAATCACAGTGAATCTATTATTACTACTATTTAGTTTCAAGAAGATGGCAACACACACACACATATATAAACAAAATGGCTTCTTTATAATATATATATATTTATAGTTATTATAGCTATTATCGTTCTTGCTCTAAGTTTAAACTTTCTTTACGTTTCTTCACGTAATACATCCAATCTTCGCCGTGTGTATATATACAGGCTGCATGTATATATACTCGTTACCTTATGATTTATTCTTACACGTTACAATAGAAATTGGAAAGCAGAGTCAGAAGAAACCGTTTTTTTTTTACAATTATTAATCTTAGTGTAATATAATGTTGTATATATAATATATTGCTGTAGGCGATGCGCCGATAAACAAATGAACGTACGTTAACACGAAAACCAATTTGTTTATATTCGAGGATTTAAGGGAAATAAAAGAAAAAAGAAAAGATTTCGGTGATTGTTTTTTTTTGTTTGTTTTTGTTTTGTTTGTTGTTTGTTTGTTGTTTAAATCAAATACAGCCAAATTTGATTGCACTTAAAGAAAACGGCGGCCTCGAAAACCCGTCTTGATATGATCGTAATTATTACATCTATACACAATTAAACATCAACATCAAATGTGGAGAGAACGCGTTTTTTTCTCTTTTTGCTGCTGCTGCTGCTAAGTGTCCACTAAATAGCTATTATAATAATGTAAAGGATGCTTCTTCTCAATTGGCGGGGGGGAGGGTTGATGTTTCAAAGAGAATCAAATAAAACCAAACAATGAAATAACAACAAAGAAAAAGAAAAGTTCATACAAAG